CCACGGCTGATGCCATGCAGCTATTGTGCTGCTGCACTGCCCCTGCGTTTGGTATCATACTCAAACAGCTATTGACGTTTTGAAGAATGCAGGGACTAACTGGCTGCTTTTCTTTTCTTTCTTTTTTTTTCCTATACGCTTTCTCCTCTACTGTTGGCCCTACTCGAATGACGACATTTTACTTGGCGGTGACTTGCAATTGTTCCTTATTTGCTCCTGCAATCGCGTCTTTTTGGGGTCTGTACCACATGCGCCGTCGCTCTGCCACGACTGAACACTGCTGCTCGTCAACAGACCTTCAACGTCCTCGGTAACCAGGACAACAAGTCCGGCCACATCAACGGTGAGCTCAAGACTAAGTACGTTGACTACAAGAATGGTTTGACCGTCACCGAGACTTGGACCACCGGCAACCTCCTTACCACCCAGATCGAGCTCGAGAACAAGGTCGCCAAGGGATTGAAGTTGGACATCACCGGAGGCTTCCTTCCCTCCGAGGGCAAGAAGAGCGCGAAGGTTGGTGTTCAATACAAGCAGCTCGGCTTCAACTCCCGTGCCTATGTCGATCTCTTCAAAGGCCCCACCTTCACCGGTGATGCTGTTGTTGGCCGCGATGGTTTCTTGGTCGGAGGCGATGTCGCCTACGACGTTGGTGGTGCTTACATCACCCGCTTCGCTGCTGCTGCCGGCTACACCGCCCCCGAGTACTCGGTCGCCCTCCACGCCCACAACTCATTCAAGGTCTTCTCTGCCTCGTATTACCACCGTATTAACGCTGACCTCGAGGCTGGTGCCAAGGCCGTTTGGGACTCCAAGGCCCACCCCACCCCTGCTAAGGCGCCCGTCCACCTCGAGGTTGGTGCCAAGCTCTACCTTGACCGTGATGCCTTTGTCAAGGCTAAGGTCAACAACGCCGGCGTCCTCGGTCTTGGCTACACCCAGGCCCTCCGCAAGGGCGTCAAGGTCTCGGTCGGTGGTCTCTTTGACACCACCAAGTTGGACCAGGCTGCTCATAAGATCGGTCTCTCCTTTGTTTTTGAGGCATAAATTGCTCGTTGAGATTCTTTTCCTCTCCATCTTACAACTGTTCCTTCATCTCATAATCATTGTATAAAAAATAAACGTTGTATCGAGGCAGACTCTGAAATCCAATTTAAACTCATGTTTAGTGGGCGATGAGGATGAGGATGCGGATAGGAAAGGTGTCGAGGAGATCGATGACACGGGGGTGGATGAGAATTCCCGTGAACCGATAAAATAATACAGCAACATGGTTCCTCTCTCCACACCTTACCGGCGAGGCCGGAGATTCGTTGGTGCTTCATACAAACCACGGACAGTGACGGCTGAAACGAGGTTCAACCCCACAAAAATGGTGCAAGGCGAGGGACAGCCTGATTCGCTTTCATTTCTTACTTCATCTCTCGACGAAGCCCCTCCTTCTCGAATCCGCATTCGCATCGAGCGCAGAGAAGAGTGGACATCGCTGGACCCACTTCCCTTCTTTCTCCTGTGTTTTTTTTATAATTCAATTCAACCTGCCAGCCAACTATGGCTCCCGTCTTCAGTCTGCCACTGGGCTTGCACCGCAAGCCAAGATCAACCCTTGCAGGACTCTCAGTCCTACTCGCCTATGTCATCGTCCGGAGGCAGCAAACCCGCGCTAAGCGTCGTGCTCGCCAGCAGCAACGCGTGGCGGCAGGCAGCAGTGGGGAAAAGAGTCGTGACGGCTCTCAGGGCAAACCTCGCCGGGTCGGAGTCGATCGACACTTTGTGGAGCAACTCAAGAAACTCCTGCCCATTTGTATCCCTGGTCTCGCCAGCAAGGAGGCCGGTCTCTTGGCTGCTCTAGCCACCATTCTAATTGCCAGGTACGATTGCAAATCCCTCCTCGGTTTCTTTGAAGATACGAAGTGTATGACTGACATTTTCAATTCTACATTGATGTAGAACATGGCTGGATGTCTGGTTCTCGGGTCTTAACGGTGCAGTAGTCAAGGCCATTGTGTCTCGGGATCGCAAAAAGTTTATTGCCAAGGCCATCATTGAATTCGGCCTTATGATGGTATGAAGCATGCTCTTCTATATTGATATTCAAGGACCACGGAGCAATGCATTATTCTTCGAGGACAAATGTTTTGTCTGGCAGCACAAAGGAAGGCGCTCGGACTCTCACGTACGGATAGAGGGAAACGACAGAATGATAAAGAAACGGCCCAAGAGCTCCTTCACGTGGAAATTGATGTGTATTGCAGTGGTTTGACGTTACAGCCTTTAATATATATGTGTGTATATCTCTCTCTCTCATCATAGTGGCCGATGAGTATCGTGAACAATTCGCTCAAGTTTACGATCAGTGCTCTGGCTCTTTCTTTCAGAGAACGCTTGACCAAGGTACGCAATCCGGGCTTCAATTAACACACATTTGATGCAGCCGAAAGTGATGTACTGACAACCACACTATGTATTTCATTTCCGATAGTTTGCTCATAATCAATATCTGGATGGAATCACCTTCTATAAGATATCGAACATTGACAACCGCATCCAGAACGCAGACCAGCTCTTGACTCAGGATATCGATAAGTTTGCAGACAACCTCAGCCACCTCTACTCCGACATTGCAAAGCCCATTGTTGACATCGCTCTTTTCGCATACAAGCTGGGAGAGGCCATGTAAGTGTTCCAAACTCGACTTAAAATGGAGGCGTCGTCATACCTTCAATTATATACTGTTAACGCGTGTTTCTGATGTTTTACTATCATTTAGTGGAGGAGAGGCGCCGTTCTATATGATCGGATACTTCTTTCTGTCTGGAGTAGTCCTTCGCGCGCTTTCGCCTCCTTTTGGCAAATGTAAGTCCAGTCTTTGGCTTTGACAGTGCTAAATTAATGTTGACTACATACGCCAGGGATTAAAGCGGCGATTGTCTTCTTCTAGACACGGCTGTGGAACAAAAACTCGAGGGTGACTTCCGCTTTGCCCATTCACGTATTATTGCGCACTCTGAAGAAATTGCGTTTTATAACGGAGCTGCTCGCGAAAAGGACGGCGTGAATACTGCCTTTGACAAGGTAACGAAGGATCTCTGGGACCATGCCTATGCTATCACAGCAAATAGCGCCAACACTTACTGGAGACAAATAACCCTTGGGTCATCCTTGCTTTTTAGATTGCACGCCATGTTAAAAAAGTGTATACAATGCGCTTCGCCAATGGTATCCTCGACTCGGTTCTTGTCAAATATTGTGCAACCATGACCGCGTACTAGTAAGTGTCGAGAGATTCTGGCTAAAATGCAAGACACTGCTACTATATGCTTGAATTGACACCTATGCTTTTATCCTGTGTCTTTCTAGTCTATTGGCGCGTCCTGTCTTTGACCCCACTTATGGTATACTCGTCTTTTGCCGATTGCTGCCAGTCTCATAATCGATACATCTCATAAAATACAGCTATTCATATTTTATTCTTTTTTATTATTAGCAACCGAGCATATGGGACGCGTCTCTGCAGACCCCACTAAGATTGTGGAGGACTACTCCAGGAACTGTAAGTGGGGTACAAGACACGTAGCTTTTATGTATGTAGCAATCTGGCGGAAATATTAACCTATGTGCTCATTTCTAGCTGGATATCTCGTCAACTTGTCTCAGGCGGTTGGTCGTCTCATCCTTGCAGGACGTGATCTCACCCGATTTGCTGGATACACTTCTCGTGTCTCGGAGCTGTTTGACGTCCTGGAGGATATCAAGAAGGGACGATATGAACGCACTATGGTGTCGAAGGGCGATGGATCGTCGAATCAGAGCCAGGGCGTCAACACCAACGATCTGAAGGGCAAGGTCATCACTCAAGATGGTGTGATTATCTTTGATAAGGTGCCTATCGTGACGCCTAACAACGACGTCTTGGTGAAAGAACTTTCGTTTAAGGTCTCCAAGGGAACCGATGTCATTATTGCAGGACCTAATGGTAAACATTCGTTGTAGTAGAAGCATCGCACCGCAGAAGCGAGGCTTATGCCATTCTATCGTGATGTACTCACCGGTTTCGTTATGCATTTACAACGTAGGATGCGGCAAGTCGTCGCTGTTCCGAATCTTGGGAGATCTCTGGCCCTTGTTTGGTGGTACGGTTACAAAACCCCATCCTTCCAAGTTATTCTATGTGCCCCAGAAGCCCTACCTGGCCTTGGGAACATTCCGTGACCAGGTCATCTATCCCGACACAAAGCAACAGGCACTCGCTAAAGGATTTACGGACAAAAAGCTTCTTGAACTGCTGAGCATTGTACATCTCGGATATTTGATTGACCGTGAAGGTGGTTGGGATTCTGTCCAGGACTGGGCCGACGTGTAAGTCTCCCTTTGTATCATTGCAAATCTCTCTTCTCTATTTTTTTTTTTTTTTTTTCCTCTAACACGGTGATTACTTTTGAACAACTAGTCTTTCTGGAGGCGAAAAACAACGTGTGGCAATGGCCCGTCTGTTCTATCATCGCCCACAGTTTGCGATCCTGGACGAGTGCACGTCAGCAGTCAGCATCGACGTTGAGGGTATCATGTACGAGCATGCGCGACAGTCCGGCATTACGCTCTTCACTGTATCCCACCGGCCGTCGTTGATCCGTTACCATGAGTACTTGCTTCGATTCGACGGAGAGGGCAACTATCAGTTCCGAGAGCTCGGCAAGGAGGATAAGCAGCAGACCACTTTCGGGTTCGGACATGGCAAGTCCAAGAAGATCAAGAAGCTGGAGGAGAGGGATGGTGATGATGCGGATACGGAGATCAGCGTATGAACGGGAAGACAGGGAACGGGGAATGTGGACAAAAAAAATCGTTGGAGATGGACAATAAATTTGACAGCATGGCAGGTCCCCAGTTCTGCTGCAATGGGATATGGTGCGCAAGCTGAAATTGGCCCATGCCAAAGGACACCAAAAGATGTAGATTGCGCCTGAGTCGAATGATGCTGTGAATCTATCAGTTATCACGCCTCCCCAATGTGTCCAAAGTGGAAAGGGTATCCTCCCTATTCCTCCATGCGTCGTTGACGATTTTTTTTCTTTTTTACAAGAACTCTAAAGAAACATGGGAATTATTAACTGTGGTCTGAAGGAAATCTGCATGTGGGACAGAAAACAAACAGTAAGCTGTTCGCTCCGGCTATGTCGTAACGGATCCATATTTCATAATCAATGACTGCATGAATGGTGGACCGACGGCCCCTGCTCCTTACGTGCGCGAAAGTCATCCTTTAACCACGGTCCTCTGATATTTTAAGAAAATGGCATCCTCCCAGTTACTCCATCACACCGAGTCTCAACTGTCCCAGATAGTGCCCCTGCACTCGTCCATCTGTGGCGTCGTTGATCTCTTTCACATCGGGTACCTGTCGTTGCCTCAGGGTAGATCCCATAAACTCATTGCTGCTACATATGTGCTCCCTATCACAATTGCGTCCCCAGGCGCGTTTGCTCACAACAGTGATCCCACGGTGACTTTACATCTTCTGTTCTAGATCTCTGCTCTGCCGATCTCCTCAATAGCCTTCACAAAGCGGCTGACCATGTATGTTGCGATCCGTTCTAAAGTGTTAAAAACGCGTCTCCAAGACTGAGCCATGCACTTGGGTGTTAGACCGTGATACAGATCCTGCACTGGCCACTCAACCCCCTCGAATCTTTCCTCTTCGGCGTCTGCCGCTATCTATCCCCATCATATGTCACCCACGCCTCTGACTGTGACCTCAAGCGCGTCCCAAATTGCATCCAACCTGGCCTCTTTATTTTTTTTAAATTAAATTAACATAAATACGAGACGCAAGGTCTGCATGGTAGAGCCGCGTCCCCTACCAACTATGTTGGCTTGTATCCAACCTGGCTTCTTTGAACGTCAGTGGTTTGCGTTTGCTGATGTCGCGTCTCCTCCTTTTCTCTTCCTTTATCTCCTCCTCTCACGTCTTCCTCGCGCTCCTCCATGCTCGTCCTCCAACTGCATTCACTGCTGGACAGTGCCACAGATGTCGTGGCGCTGCGTCTGGGCCGAGCCAAAAAATAAAAAATAAAAAATATTATAACCAATTGTCTCTCGAGTCAATTGACTCTGCGAATTTATCAGACTAATTAGCAACGATCTACCACAGCTGTCCTCTCCACCAAAGCGGAACCGATCCAGGGTCGCCAGTTGACAGGTCACATTCCCCGGGCCTGCCCCTAGGGCCTGCGCAACAATTGCCACACCTCATCAGTGTGTTAAAAGCTGAAAACACCCTGTTACAAGAAGGGTATCTTCCCCATCCCCTCCATAGTTGTCAACCGCCTCCTCCCTTGCAGGCAATCCAGCAGCGTCCGATCCGCTGCGTCTGGGTCAAGCAGGGGGCCAGGGCAGCTCCCGTTTACATGGTCAGCGAGTATGCACCACACGGACATTGGTCATCGTCGCTAATGTATCCATACCCATCACTCCAGTCCCCTCTCGGTCCCTTGTATGGAGTTCGTTTCATCTTGGCTGTGATCCCCCATTCTCGCTCTCGAGCAATGGTGGCCTTGCAGCGTGGTTTCCAGATCAGCTCCGTAGCTTTCTCCTCAATAAAGCCGACGAACTTGTGAATGACCTGGCGCGCAATCGACGATGGCGAGGTAAATAGACTGCCCCACTCCTTGATAAGGCTGACGGGTGTGATGCCACGGCATGAATCGCTGATGCTCCAGGTCAGATCCGGAGAGCGGTCATAATACTCGTCACCTTTGAGCATTGATCGGGTCCCGGCGATACAGGATAGACCTCGGATGTGGGTCTCGTTGTTAGGACAAACCCATCGAATGGGTTTCGGTGCAGCAGCGGCGGCTCCAGCGCGGATCCTATCACGCTCTTGCTGCTTCTTGCTGTTCTTGTTGTATTCGGTCGTTGCAGCTCGTCCCCACTTATCAATCTACTGTAGCCCTTCGCGCCAGATCTCCTTGTGGACATCTCTAGTAGCACTGCACGTCCACAGGTGATGGTTGTCCTCGTCCTGAACATCGCAGACGCAGCAGACACGGTCAGGATATAGACTCGGGTGGCGAGCCTTCATGGTATTCAGGGTAGGCAGCATACCATGCAGCTTCTTAATATGATGTGTCCTCTGGGAGGTATCAGCAGCACTGCTGAAGAACGTGTGCACAGAGCGCTTGTCGTGGACATGGGCAAGGGTGGACCGCCACTTCACGTCGGCAAGATCTGGTATCGCTCTCTTGACACGCCGTTGGGTTGTCCAGGCCTGATGACGCCTGGTTGTCGTCTGCTGCTTGAGTAGCTGCCGCAGATCATGTTCCACAAGATGGTCGTGGCAATGTGCAAAAAAGCGGATGTCTTGCTGCTCGCTTAAATCAACCGACCAGGGCATTGACTCGACTCGGACGGCGGCTGTCGCCACAGTGTCTGCAATATTGTTGCCAGTGTTGGTGCTGTGCCCACGGACCCACCTCACCTCCACCGACCCAGACCGATCCTGGACAATCTTGTGTAGTGCTGCCCAGTGTCCGGAGTACGTACTACGGAACCGCTTACGAGGTAACGTGTCCGCACGGGAACGCACAAGCTGCTGATATTGTTGCACGACCGCTTTTTTTTTTTTTTTTTTTTTTTTTTATTAACATA